GGTGGAATCGTAAATAAGATTCCCTTTTTCATCGTAGTTACTTGCTGAACACTTGTTTTGGAGATTATTTGCGGTAGTTTATTTCCCCTTAGTTCTCTGGTCTGTTTGTGTGGACTCAGGCACATAAAACACCTTATCGCTGAATTTTCCCTTAGTTTTTAACTTGAACTTTCTTGCGCAAGGCAGATTTGATGTCAGTAGCCGAGTGAAGGTGAAAGGTGTCCTGTTTAATTCTGAAGGTGTTCGGTCCTCAAGGTGATGTATGCTACTTGTTTCCTTGTATCCAAGAGAGGAGAGTGGAGGAACACTGTGTCTGCTGGTTTGCATGAGCTCTACATCTGCAGTGCGAGGTCTTGACTTGAGTGATTCAACTGCTTGTTTAGATTTTAATTTGTTTCTTCACTCAGACCTGACTGTCCAAAAGACCCCCCTTCAGAGGCAAGTGTTTCCAGCAGATTCAGGAGACAGAGCTTTGTGTAGCTTCTCCTCGACTTGCTAGCTGATCCACTGATGATAGAGGGAGGACATGGTGACACTGTGTTGGACACGCCCACAGTGGGAGTGACACTATCAGAGATGCCCACCACACACCTGGAGGGGGGACAGTTCTGAAGGGGCTGGGGCTGACACCAGTTACACCAGGGTCAAATACCATTGGGCCTTTTAAGAGCTAAAAGTACATTTACATATATTCCCCAAACGGAACACTGGGCAGAAAAACTGATTGGAACAGAAAACTTTCATTAAGATCTCCACAGGGGGCAGCGTTTCTCCAGGAACCAGGCATGGGAATTACTGCTCAAACGAGTCACCAGAGAACCGTTTCACGGCATTTTGATCTGTTTTGTTTTTTCCCCAAGTTGAATTTCTTTTTCAAGCTGCGCTGAATGCAGACGGTTTGGAGTATTAGTTTAACTCCACGTGTGAGAATGGGGATTGAGCATGAACAAGGCAGCAGGCATGAAGAGCATCCGCACTCGGACTGGGCTTATGCACTACAGAGTACAGTTTGTAGCACTTGGAAGGGCTATGCTCCTGTTGAGTGGGTATCCATTTTTTCACTGTTGTGCTGTAGGGGGTGGTGTTTTAATCCCTCAGTGTGTGCACAGCATTGCTGAAGCCTTATTTCGGGTTCAGAACCGCAAAAGGTTCTCAACCATGTGCTGTGGATGAACTGTTTTTTTTTTTTTCCGTCTGCTAATGGGGCGGAGCTGTAGCTCTGTGGCTCAGGATCTGCGCCTGTGGCTGGAATCCTACTCCGTTGGGCCCCTGAGCCAGGCCCTTCACCCCAACTGCTCCAGGGGCGCCGTATAAACGGCTGACCCTGTGCTCTGACCCCCCCCCTCTCTCCCTGTCTGTGTGTCTCATGGAGAGCAAGCGGGGGTCTGCGAAAAGACAAATTCCTAATGCAAGAAATTGTATAGGGCTGATAAAGTGGTGTTAAATGGTGAAATGTTAATTGTGTTTGATTGTCTCCCCTCAAGGCCTATGCGGATTATATTGGATTCATTCTGACCCTGAACGAGGGAGTGAAAGCGAAGAAGCTCAGTTGTGAATTCAAACTGTCAGAGGTAAGAGGAGCAGGTCAGCGCTTCCGAAACGGCACGGCAGAACTTTTTTCTCCGCCCAGGCGTTTGGATCTCGTACGCTGGCGGCTCCCAGGAAATGGCTGGATCGGCTTCAGCAGCTCGCCCGGGCAGCTTGTTCCACACCCCCCCCCCCACAACCCTCGGTGTAAAGCAGTGTCTCTTGTCCGGTGCCCTCTTGCCCATTGCTTGTGTGTGTGTGTGTGTTTTTGACTCCTCGCTCACGTAAACCCGCAGATTTCCCTGTGTCCGTTTGCAGACGGTGCAGAAGCTGCTGTCTGTCCTCGAGACTTTGGACCGCTGGATTGACGAGACCCCGCCTGTGGACCAGCCCTCACGGTTCGGGAACAAGGCCTACAGGTCCTGGTACGCCAAGCTGGAACAGGTACAGCCGATACGCACACCGGTCGCCCTACGGGGATCGACTCCCTGCGCTTTTTTTTTTTTTACTCCTGTTCTTCAAACTCCAGATAAAATCCCAGATAATCCGAAAAACTAAAGGCCGACGAGAGAGGTTGTCGCTCCTTTCCATAGCTCCTACCGTGCTTTACAAGACTAGTGTACTTTAACTCGTTAGATGTCAGAATATAAGAACAAATACAGAATATTCTTCATCTGGTGGCCCATGCACTTTGTAATTTAAATTTGTTTAGCTCTTGAGCGCCACTTAGTGGCTGAGGTGTAGGAGTCATGCGTGTCTTTAGCTGTGGAGGAGGAATGGGCTCGCTGATGTCTTTACCTTAACCTGACAGTTGTGAATATCCTGCTGTGGCTTTAGGGAATCAAACAAGTTGCCAAATTGCATCAAAAGTCTTTCAACGTCTGGTTGTCTGGCAAGGACCTTGTACAGGGCAGAATCTTAATGATGCAATAGCCATATTTTTTGGAAGGGGGTGGGGGGGGACAATTTTCTTTTAGTTTAAGAACTACAATTATTTCCATCTGCAAGTTTTTGCGGCAGCCCTGTCGCTCGAGGGTGGTCACTGTGACACGCGAACTGAGACTGGCTCTTTGTTCACTCTGCGGGCAGGAGGCTGAGAGCCTGGTGTCCGGAGTCATCCCGCCGGACCGCGCCGCAGCCGCCCCGGAGATCGCTGTGTATTTGAAGGAGTCTGTCGGGAACTCCACCAGGATAGACTACGGGACAGGTAGGCTTTGCGGCTCTGTACTGCACTTTGAGCTCCGGACACAGCAGGGCTCTCCATTCCTGGCCCTGCACAGCCCCATTAAAGGGGAAATGCAGTCCCATCTCATTATTAAATGCTGGTAACAAAATAAATTCTTTGACGGTACAGAAGAATTTTACAAATTTCTAATTAAGCACAAAATCGTGAACTTGGTGAAAGTACTGTAAGTTGTCGCAATATCGCACTGGACTTCCCTCAAATACGTGAAGCAGCCCTTCCTGCTCACTAGTCGCTGTGATGACTGACGTAATGCGATGTACAAGCGAATAAGTACAGGTTGTGCAATAGATATTCCACCGCAGGAAGTTTCCAGCGTGATCTGAATGCAGGGTTAACACGTGAATTGTCAGCAAAACCATCTCGGAGTTGAGAGTAATATGTCTACTGGATTAAAAAAGGTGTATGCCAAGGCCTGCTTGTTTACAACGTAATAAGGTTGCTTCACGTTAAACAAGGTTTTGTTGGCTCGTTCTGAATCACAGAACATTTTTCTTTACAACTTTTAAAGCCCCAGTTTGCCTTGCAGGTCACTTGCGTCTAATGATTAACTATACTGATGAGGTATTGATCAACTAAGCAAGGTATTGTCATTAGTGAAGAGAATGCTGGTCTGATCAGCAAGCATCTTTGTACCTCTAAATGACTTAATATAAGAAAGCACCTGTTAAATTGATCTCAGTGTAATTGTTGCAGATCTGTGTGAAGTGGCAGTTTAATGGTAAAACTGTGTCGAACTGGGGCTCTGCAGGACCCATATTGGAGTCTCCCTGGTACTGATTTGAAGTATATCTCAACCGCATGCTTCTGAAAAATCCGCAGTTGTGAATCCCTGTCTTAGCCAGGGCAAAGGCATCTGTGTCCCGATAGATACAGAGATTGGTGTTGCTTCTGGTTTGTTTTCCACAATGTCCACTAGAGGGCGCTCTTGAAGCAGCACTGAGGGCTTCTTTTGCAAGTATTAAGCTCAGCACTGTGCCGTTTACATATAACTGTAAATGTAACTGTATTGTGGTGAGGAAAGCTAATTGCCCCTCTCTCTCTTTGTGTGTGCAGGCCACGAGGCAGCTTTCGCTGCCTTCCTCTGCTGCCTCTGCAAAATCGGTGCTCTCAGGGTGGACGACCAGCTCGCGATAGTCTTCAAGGTGTTTGACAGGTGAGAAGCCGCAAGAGCGAAAGACAGGTGACAGGCGAAGAGGGGGTCACCCAGGCCTCTCAGCCTGTTTGTAGTCCTTATGTTTTCATGCATTGTTTTGCGTGTTCGGTCTCGGAGCGTGGTGCGTCGTTTTGCGAGCTCTTAATAAAAGGGCTTGTTTGTTTTCACAATCCCACGCAGGTATCTGGAGGTGATGCGGAAGCTGCAGAAAACCTACCGCATGGAGCCCGCCGGCAGCCAGGGCGTCTGGGGGCTGGACGACTTCCAGTTCCTACCCTTCATCTGGGGCAGCTCCCAGCTCATAGGTAAACCTCCCCCGTAGATAAAGGTCCTCTTATCACTGTAAAGGATCTCGCACAGAGGAAGGCTAGACCTGATGCATGCATTAACGTGATGCACTGCAAAACTATTGGGATCACTAGTTTCAATCCATGTGTGTATCTGTAGAATCAGGTTATGTATAGTTCATGGCGGCGCAGTGGTGAGCATTGCTGCCTCACAGTGCTGGAACCCTGGGTTTGACGCCTGTGGTGCTCTCTGCGTGGGGTTTGCATGTTCTCCCCTGGTTTGTGTGGGTTTCCTCCGGGTGCTGCGATTTCCTCCCACAGTCCAAGACATGCCGGTTGATTGCCCTGTGATTGTGTCCTGCCTAGGGTATATTCTGTCTTGTGTCCATTAGATTATGGATTGTTAGATATATAACTATAAAATCTATAATGTTAACCAGATTATAAAATGAGAGGGAGCTTTGAGGCTTGTTAATGCTCTAGGCTGTTTTCATACATGAATATGAGCTTATACACCTCCCACACCTGGGGTAAGCAAACTTCTTAATAAAAGCTGAAGGCTAGCTCTCATGTCTTGGGCTTCGCAAGGCATTATGGTTTGGTACGCTCAACAGTGACCTCCGGTGGGGAAACTGCGCCTTCATTTTTCTGTCTGGCTCTGCCCGGTAGACCACCCGACACTGGAGCCCAGGCACTTCGTAGATGAGAAGATGGTGAACGAAAATCACCAGGACTACATGTTCCTGGAGTGCATCAAGTTTATCAACGAGGTAAGGAGGCCCCGACAGATCCAGGAAAAAAAGCCGTCTCTCCATTCCGGCCGGTGGGCAGATCTGGACAGCAAGCCGGCGGCCAGCACTGGGCCGCACAGAGCCTAGACAGGGC